ATAATGATAATAACAAAAACAATGATAACGAAAACGATACCAAAGCAAGTGAAAGAGCAGGAAGACAGTTTTAGAAAGCTTAGAGAAGGAAGCTCGGAGCTCTAAACCGCTTAAGTGTGTCTCGGGATGAGCTTTATCGTCGAGCTCCCTGAGGTGGGGGGGGGGAGGGGTTGTTGTTGTTGTTGTTATTGTTATTGTTGTTGTTGTTGCTGTGTTATTGCTTTGTTATTATTATTATAGTTGTTGTTATTGTTTTGCTTTGTTATTATTATTGTTGTTGTTTTATCATTATTATTATTATTGTTATTATTATTATTATTATTATTATTATTATTATTATTATTATTATTAGTGGTAGTAGTAGTAGTAGTGTCGTTGTTGTTGTTATTGTTATTATGTTTATGATTATCATTATGAAGTGCTGGTGCTGCTGTTATTATTAGTTATTAATTAGTATCGTCATTATCATCATCGCAGTCATACACATAATCATTTTTACATTATTATTGTTATTACTATCAATATTATCACTATAGGCATTACCACTTTTGTTGTCATTGTTAATTCCATTTAGTCTTTACTCTTAAAGTTATCATTATAAAGTTATTATCATTATTTTTTGTTGCAGTATCATTATTTTTTCTTTTTTTTTTACAGTCCATATCCGTACTCGGAAACGAAGTCTAAAAATAAGCAGACTGCTAAAATTACACAAGAAATTGTACATTTTTAAAAATCATTATTGTTGTTGTTATTATTGCTATTCTTGTTTATTGTTCTATTTGTTGTTGTTTTGTTGTTGTTGTTGTTATTATTATTATTATTATTATTATTATTATTGTTATTATTATTAGTAGTAGTAGTAGTAATAGTATTGCTGTTGTTATTGTTATTATTATTGTTTTTATCATTGTTATTATTATTGTTATTTTGTTATTATTATTATTATTAGTAGTAGTAGTAGTAGTAGTAGTAGTATTGTTATTGTTATTACTTATATTTCTTTAATATTTTTGACCTGCCTAAAATGAGGGGGGAGGGGATCCATCTACAACCATTACCTATAGCAAGGTCAAAGGTCAATAGACAAGGGGTCAAGGGTCGATATATGTTGGACCGATCGAAGGGCGTTGACCCAGGACAGAGGTTTGGGCGTTCTCGGGCTGTCTCTGCGGAGGGGGGGGGGGGGGGGGGGGCACGTGAGCGAGTGGTGAGGACAGGTGAAGAGAAAGGGGAGAGAAAGCGCCGAGGAGGTGGACGTAGATTGGAGTAGATCAAAGAAGAATAACGCAGCATAGTCCATTTAATTAATATACGAAATATAGAGTCAATAATTATCGTCATTATATAAAAAAGAAAGGAGAAAAAGTGAAGAGTGGGTGTGGTAGAACGGTAGATTCGTCTCGTAGCATAACAAAAACAATAACAATAACACATAAAAAGAACTAAAACAGAACAAAGATAACCAGAATAGTGAATTCGCTAAACACACCATTCTTACAAGGAGGAAAAAAATAACAGTACAATAGGTGTGGTGCCGCAATGCAGAACCATACCATTTTCACCCTTACAGACACAAGCCCTTATCTCAGTAAACGTGTTAATAACCTTTTTTTTATGCATGAGTGTGTCGATGTGAAACTCACGCAGGCGGAAAAGGTGAAATAGATCATGTGAAAGGCAATGATAACTTTCACTCTAGGTACTAACTAACGAATTTCGTCTACTCTCTCTTGCTGTCTATCTCTTTGTCTAGTCGTATGGCTGTCTATCTGTGTGTTTGTGTCGTCTATTCGTTTTTTTTCAGTCTATCTCTATCTTTCTATGTATGTAGAACTCTCGCTGTATAATGGAAGGATTGTGGATCTATCTATCTATGTCTATCTGCCGTGTCTGTCTTTGTTGTTCACTTCTGTTCAGTTGTGTGACTTCGCGTTCTTTGGGCGTGTGCTTCATTTTCATTTGTATTTTTTTGTTATTTTTAATGTTATTGTTATGGTTACTATTTCACTGTTTTTTTTTGTTATCATTATTGTTATCGTAATTATTATTATCCTTATTTGAATTGGTATCATTGTCGTTATTTTCGTCATCATTATCATCATCATCATCACTCGTTCGCCATATGGATAATCGTAACTGTAACTATAACTGTAATAATAATGATAATAATACTTTGGTAGCAACAACAACAATAAGAACAATAATAATAATAACGATAATAATAATAATGATAACGATAGTGATAACAATGACAATAATTTTAATAAAATAATAATAATAATAATAACAATAACAATAATAACAACAACAATAACAACAATAACAATAACAGTAACAATAACAATAACAACAACAATAACAACAACAAAACAACAACAACAATAATAATGATAATAATAATAATGATAATAACAAAAACAATGATAACGAAAACGATACCGATGCAAGTGAAAGAGCAGGAAGACAGTTTTAGAAAGCTTAGAGAGGGAAGCTCGGAGCTCTAAACCGCTTAAGTGTGTCTCGGGATGAGCTTTATCGTCGAGCCCCCTGAGGTGGGGGGGGAGGGGTTGTTGTTGTTGTTGTTATTGTTATTGTTGTTGCTGTGTTATTGCTTTGTTATTATTATTGTTGTTGTTATTGTTTTGCTTTGTTATTATTATTGTTGTTGTTTTATCATTATTATTATTATTGTTATTATTATTATTATTATTATTATTATTATTATTATTATTATTATTATTATTATTAGTGGTAATAGTAGTAGTAGTGTCGTTGTTGTTGTTATTGTTATTATGTTTATGATTATCATTATGAAGTGCTGGTGCTGCTGTTAT